AGAATTAGTAGAAAAAGAAGTATGCATCTACTGTTGGTGGTAGTATAATTTGGTGCAGCCTCTATGGGAAATGGTATGGAGACACCTTAACAAAATAAAATGGAAATACCTTGTGATTCAGCAATACCTGTCCTAGGTATTTACTGATAGAATATGAAAACTCTACTACAAAAGATTTATGCACTCCGGTGTTCATACCAGCCATGTCATGGAACCACCCTAAGTACCTTAAGACGACACATGCCTGGACACAGAAATTATGAAATATATATTCAGTTGAATGCTAGTCAGCTATTGAGAAAAATGAGAGTATCTTTTGGGACAAAATGAATGGATCTTGAAATGTACCCTCAAAATGATATGTGTATGTAAATATCTGACAAATTAATGAGAACACTTTATAATCTAAAGGAAGATAAAGTTTCTCTACATCTACCAATCTAGCCCCCAAAAGTGGATGAACATAATCTTTAGAGATAACAGTGCTCCAATATTACATGTACTATGCTCAATGAATACCAAGCATATCATTGGAATATGCCCAGACTGTACCAAGAGCATCAGGTAAGAAGATTCAGTAATGTGAGGTAGGTATTTTCTTTTTAATACCCAGTTGAAAACTAATAACTTAGCAAGTGCTACGCTCAAAATAAAAAGTAAAGTTGAGATCTGGCTAACATAAATTTTTAAAATTATGACTGACAATACTATATTGTAGTTGTCAAATATCTGGCATAGCAGTACTAGTAATATCAAAACCAGAAACTTATCATAGCCAATATGGGTATTGAATCTCTAGTAACTTCCTATTCAACAATGTTTGAGGTATTTATATTCATACCATTTCCCTGTTTAACCTCAGAAAGGCTGAGCATCTCTTCTGATTTGGCAACTCTTTCATAAATCAATAGTGACATATCAAATAAGCCTAATTACTTCTAGTACCCATTTTTATAAGGTGAGAAACAAATCCTTTGAGATTGTCCAGGGTCCCTCTAGACTTAGTTATAATAGAATGATGTATTACTGAAAAACAGTATTTTGTTCTCCATTTAACCAAAGTGACAACAAAAGATTTTATAAGTAAACATAGGAGGCAATATGATTATAAAGAACCTCAGCTCTTTCCTATGTGAAAAAAACCTCAGCTCTTTCCTATGCTTTCTTGAATAATGAAACATATAATAAAGTCAGTATAAGCCATAGTAGGTCATTTTGGAAAGACACAGGATCTTTGTCATCTGGGAAGATTACTTAGTGAACAAAGCCTTTGTTAACTCATTAAGAGAAAACCGATAATAATAAATAAAACTTGTCATTTTAACAGAGAAAGCCAAAGTCTAGTTTTATATCAGGGTAATATTTGATACTGAAGTTCTTTTTGGAAATTTTATAAGTCTTACAGATAAATTCCTTAGCAAGCAAATAAAATTTTCTTTCTGTGAACATCCTACCACTTTCTATGTCAATATATCTCCCATGTAGTACAACTTCTCTAAGTGTAAGAAGAAAGAAAGAAAGAAAACACAGTTTTTTAAAAGCTTCTAACTTTTTTTTGAGATAACAAATGGATTTCCAATACAAAAGCACACTTATTAAGAGACCCAAACACTAACAACCTCTCTGCAGCATGCAAAAATAAGAATCAAAAAACCCAAAATTCATAAAGCAAAAAATCATGCTTAGTAATTCACATATCAGCATTCTCTTAGAAATTATCTAGTCAACTAATCAATATCCATTCATTATCTCAAGTTAGCATTAGCCCAACACTTTTGGTTACCTAAAGATTTTATAAATTATATTCAAACTGGCATATTACAAAACATAATTACTGTTAAGAAAAAGTTTGTCAAAATAATGACTCAATTTGGTTAAACAAATCTACATTTGTCAGAATCTCAAACATTTAATAGAAGGAATAGCAGTTCAGTCTGTAAGCCTGTATAAATTTAGGAAGAACATATCCAAGTAGAATAAAATCTACATGTATATTATGCTGAACACTAATAAATTAGAAAAGACATAGCTGATTTTAATAAACCAAAAAGTATTAGTCTTGTTTGTAACAAAGATTTTCCTAGTTTATGCAAATTTGAATTCTTAAAACTTTTGAGTTTGTCTTCATTGGAATGCTTCTTTTAGCACAATGAAATAAATTGTCCTTACTTTCTAGGAAATTTGTGAATATTTTATTTATCTAAACTTATTTCAATAAACCAATGAGAATAGAGCTCCTTTAACTTAAAATACTTGTAATCTAATTTGGTAATACCATCTGGATGTAGGAAAATATTGTCCACTCACATAAAGAGTGGTAAAAGGCCTTTCTGAATTACAGACACCACAGTCATTACTATACTCAAGCTATTGCCACCAGAGAAACATTTCAAAGTAAAGGAAGGAACCAGAAATTTTATAGAGACAGGTGAAAAGGGGAGTTATCTCTGAGCATTATGGGAGTCATGGCGAAGCATGTTCTTACCTGACCTTACAGTAGGCTAGGGCAATGCCATTCTTTGCTGGTAACTATTCCGTGGGACACAAAAGGGTAGTTTTTTTTTTTTCTTAACCATCAATTGATTTCTAGGAGCACAGGGTTCAGATAAATTTTAATACTGTCAATGAGATGATTTTGCTTTGTCAATTTTGTCTATAAAATCTTTCTGTATTCTAACAGCGGGGGAGGGAAATGCACTGGACTGTGGTGATGGCACATGGGTGATTTGGTGATGGGAAACCCTAGGGGATTGCAACTGAGATGGAAAAATGCACAAAAATATGTAAAAATAACTATTATATATATATATAAACTGTTAAGATTTTAAAATTTTTTTCTGTATTCTCATATATATGTGTGTTATTAATTTCTGTTGCCTTTTTGCTGATAGGTTTTTTATTTATTTTTTTTTTGTACTTATGCCTTGTCTTCCTAGCTTAATTGTAGGTTCTCCAAGGGAAGGAGGTATGGCTTGTATTGATTTGTATTCTCCCCCTTCCCTATCGCCCTCCATTTCTTAAGATTTATTTTTATATATTTATTAATGCATACAAGAACTGGGATGGAGGCCAGAGGTGTGGAGGGTGAGAGAATTCACCAGAGAGAGAGAGTGGGAAGAAGAACAGGCAGCTGTATTGAAATACCCTGCTGAGGGGAGCAGTGGGAGTGACAGGAGAGGTCTGCTGTGCCTTGTGGCCCCTCCCTGGCCAGGGTTGATCTCATGGGACAGTGATTGGCAGTAGCTTGATAGAGCTGACTTTAAACACTGTGCCACCAGGGAGGCCCACCCTCCTCCTTTTACCTAACACCTAATGTTCCATCTCACCTACCCAAACGTTATTGTTGTTCAGTAGGAGGACAGATTACCCCATTTTTGATGAGCTATGAGAGTGGATTTATAAAATGTAAGCAGTGCATATTTGGAAAATAACATCTAAGAACTTTCAAAGTCATGTACTTTTATTTATAAGAAATTCATGGATAGGCAAGTCTTTTTTATGTAATTGGTTTCTTCCTGTTTGCATGCCTACCTAGTGGTGAAGCTATTTTTTTGCTGGGTGATCACAAAGTTCACTCTAACAAAGCAAGATCACATCTAATAACATTTTTACTAAATTCCTGCCTTCTGGTATACCTGTCCAATTGATTCATCCTGCAGCACTGTGTTCAGACTATGAAACATGTTATAGAAGAGATTTCATGAAGAATTTTATGCATTGTGTACACACTAGAAAGATCTTACAGTTTCATAGTAGTGAAAATGTCATCTTAAGTGTTGTTCATGCCCACAATTCATACTCAAGTAAAATATCAGGGAGATCTTAGGAAAAAAGGGGCTTGGTATTTGAAACGTCTGTGGAGGCAAAAGAAACTAAAGCATTTATGGGGTGGGAAAGGTACACAGTATTATGGTGATGGCACATGGGTGAATTGATGGTGGGAAGTCCACAGGGAAGTCCAAGATGGAAAAAGGCAGAAAATGATGGGAAAATAAACTAAAATAGATGATAGATAGATAGATAGATAGATAGATAGATAGATAGATAGATAGATAGATAGATAGATAGATAGATAGATAGAATTTAAGGATTACATATAAGTACACTTGGTGGCCTTGTGGTCAAACAGCAGGGTGTAAAGAAATTTATTTGTACAGTGTTAATAAAAGAAACTAAAGCATTTAGGATAAAACCTTAACAATAAATTATAATACATTCTCAATGACAATTTTATTTTACTTATACTCACTAAGGTTTTATGGAAGCATATAGAAGAGTAAGTTAATGTTGATAAGAGGTTAAAGTGACACATTATCACCCGTAGCAAAAAAGTTAGACGCCATAAAAGTCAATGAAGATGATTTTAGTGATGGAAACAAAATAACTTTAGAAGAAGCTATTTCGGTCTCTATTATAGTAATTATATTTACAGAAAGTCAACCTTATTATGCTGCCCAGAAGGCTGTGTATTTGTACATTCCACACTCAGTTTTTATAAGCAACAAGTGCCAAGATTTACTAAAAAACACACAGAGACAATTTCTAGGTTGTGTCATAGGGTCAGTGCAGAAAATTCAATCACCAACATCTATATCTGACTGAGCAGGATTGCCTTTACGGCCCCTTCTAGATCCTAGGTTTCTTAAAGTCTTGTAAGTGATGATCAGCGTTCATCATGATGACACCAGGTTAGTACAAAATTGTTAAATGATTGCTGAATCATAAGAGAAACAATCTTTTTTCAGTATAGCTATGATATTCCAAGTTTTTGAAAATCTGGGCTCCTGGGTAGAAAATGTTTCCAGTCAACCTGAATATTTAGTTTATAAAACTTTCATTCCCTGATCATTCTGGATCACTGACTGTAATTTTTGTAGGTAGATTTTGGTTTTGTTAAAATAAGGAATTGGAAGGGACTAGACCTCAAGGGTTAGCTCCTTGGCTGTAAAGACTCTTAGATTCCTTTTGGCTATTGGCTGTAGCAACTTGTTTTCTTACAGAGATGAAGCATCTGGTTTTTGTTATCTCAATGATGCTGTCCTGGGAATATTACGATTGCGACGGAAATTTGAGCGTATTCTCTACGTGGATTTGGATCTGCACCATGGAGATGGTAAGCCCTTCACTTTCAAAGGTGCTTTGCTGCTACCAGAGCAGGTTTTTATCAGTAAAACTGCTTCTAGGCAACTGGTAAAAGGAGCAATGCCTATTGCAGTTTTCCTAATTGGGAATCTTACAGTAGTTAAATTCTGCTGGCGCTATTCCTCCCTGGCTGACCAGGCTGTTTCAAGTACCAGTACTATATTCTCCTCCCCTCTCCTCTAGTCGCAAAGCTCTCCAGTGGAGAACTTTAAGTGGCCATCTAAAACAAAAAAAGAAGTAGAAATCCTAGCTAGTGTGTACTCCAGTGCTCAGTGACAAATCTCAGGCCATTTCTGTTGGTTCGAAGTAAAATCTGCTGTGAGCTGATAGTCTCCAGATAAGATGGGTGCATGATGGACTACCAATCTGGATTTTTCACCTATAGCAATACCAATTAAGGTCGTGAGCAGAATCTGTACCACTTTCTTTGTTGCTAAAATATTTAGTCTTGCCAAACCCAGGTAGTGTATATTTATCTTTTAACAACAGCAGAATCCTTAACAACCTGCCTTAACCCCATTCACTACACTTGGAAGACTTCCTTGAAAGAATGCCTCGAACATTCCTGTGTGTTTTCCATGTGCAATGTAGAGCTTCAGTGTCAGTTGGCCACATTCCGTTTCTTTAATAAATCATCTGTATGACAGTATTTCCATTGCCCTAGAGTGCTTATCCAGTAAATTATTAGTTAAGTTTCTTCCCTTCCCTGTTTCCAGAAAGTTTTGAGACAAACTAACATCATCAAGTTATAAGAGAGGGCAAGAATAATATACACTAGGGCTGCCAATTTTGCTGCCAAACAGAAAAAGAAAAAAGAGATTTGTAGGGGAAACCTCCCTAGAGAGCTTCACCTGGATGGATGCTACCATGGAATGGTGACAGGGAATGAAAAGTAACTGAAGAGAAAAGGGTTAAGACAACCACTGTCTACTTTGAAGAGGAATGTCCACTGCACAGCTGTACACTTGGCCAATAAAAAGCACATTCTTGCTCAATAACCTGAAGAGACTCCTTCTTGCCTATCACAAAGGTGACATTTGACCCACAGGTTGTTTTCAAGTGGCCAGCAAGTTAAAATTGTTGTCCTATTTTTCCAAGATTGTAAAGAAAAAATATATACAGTGAAGACCATGTGGTTTGGTTTGCAAAGCCTATCTAGTCACTTGGTTTGCTAACCCTTGGCTTATAATATTGGTTCTCAAACTTGGATTTATAATCAGGAGGACCTGGGGAAGCTTGTTTTAAAATGCAGATTCCTGGGGCAAGTCCAGCAGATATTCATGCTTGGCAGGACTGCTGTGAAACCTGGAAACCTACATTTTAACAACAGCCCCATTGCTCCACAGGCCATGCTTTGGAAAACAGTGTTCTTCAAGGTGAAGTCTACACTCTTCATCCTGCCTTTCACGACCTACGTCAAAGAGGCCTCACTTTCTCTCTCCAGCTTTTTTGCTCACTGTCGCTCCCTCCCGACTTTGCCTCACTTTTTCCTATCTTACTTTTGCTTTCTCCCTTCTGTATCTCCAAGTTCTACCCATTAGTTTAAGCTCTAACAGTAGCAGATTTGCTCTGATCATTCCCACCGAAGTGTTCTTTCCTCCATTCAAGTCACATATTGCTTATATGGCTCATTTGACAATTAAATATGATCTTGTTTTGCTAGTCAATTTTTAATGTATCTCTGTCTTCTCTTGCCATGGAAACTTACAGTTCCTCAAGAGCAGAGATCAAGTCATTTACTTCTTTTAGTCCTATACAATGACTTGACCAAACAGAAATATGCATATAGTAAGGGTTCATTAAAATATTTTTAAATGAATGAGTGCATATGAAATGCAAACCATTAGTATCAGAGTTCAAGAATAGAGTCTACTTATTGAACCAGTAAGAATGAAATAAGACTGTTACCTGAAACCCCTCTTTCCATTTGCAATGTTATTTCTACACCATTTAGAGTTTCCTGTTGTAGCCAACTTTTATGGTGTGTTTCATTTCAGTTTATTTCCCCTCTTCAGCACCTCCCTTTCAGTGACCCCTGCCCCACCTCTAAACTCTTCCACATTTGGCTTATTTTAAATTTCCCATGATTCCATAACTAACATCACGAGGTAGCCTCACTAGCGCTCCTACTCTGCCTTTACCCTCCTTCTCCGCCAAAAGTGTTCTTTAGTGTTCTTTCCTTTCACACCATATTCCATTGCCACCACCAGTTTGTCTAAGTCCTTTTTTAACAGTGGTTTTCTGACAATGTCTAGTGGGAGGTTCCTGGAATGGTCACTGCACATATGAGAAGATGTTCAACACCCTAATACTTAGGTTAGGACATTGTACCCCAACTTGAAAAGAATAATACCCAGTGTTAGTCGGGGTGTGAGAACAGGGGAACTCTCCAATACAGTGGATGGACTGACTGAAATATAAATTGGTACCACCTCTTGGGATGGATAAGTAATCAAAATTTCCATGAATTATCCATGTTTTATACTTCCATTTCTACAGCAAAATCTATTTAATTTGTTTTATTTCATTTTCTTTTGTTTATTTAATGTTTTGTGCCTGGAGCCTTTAACTGGTTTTAACTGCCTCCCTAGGGCAAAACATAGGCTTGGGAAATTCAAACATACCTGTGCTACACAAACAGAGTTAGTATTTTTTTTAAGGTCTCAGTTGGCCTCTAATGAAGACTGAAAGTATTAAATAAACAGAGACAATTTCTTTATTTGAAGTATCAAAGAGAATACATGACTGTTATAGTCCTTCCATTTTATAGACAGATTACCTAAATATCATGTAACTAATGAGGTTTTGGAGGTCGGCAGTGTATTTATATGTACACTTAAGTAGAGGTTTGAAAGGATTATTTTAAGTCCCATCTCTTATCTCCCAAGCCTCTCCTAATTTTCAGACTCAGTATAAATGGGAAAAGGGGCACCTTTAAAAAATATTCCCCCCAATATTCTCCAGGCTTTAAAACTATGTTATAAAGCTACTATTAAGGGACATAGGCAGGACTATTTTCAGACGTTCATGTTTTAGTCAGAAAGATGTACTATAAGTTACTTAGTACACATGGGACTTTGGGCAAACTGTATTTATAACCAAATCTGTATACAGAGGGGCATTTTGTAACTAGATTTTTTAACGACCATGTTTTTCAAAGGGTTGCCATGTTATATTTCTTTGACCAAAAAAAAAAAAAAAAAACAACTCCCCAAAAGTTTAACTGGAGCTACTGAGCCTAAACCAACAGCTCCCAAGATGGCGCCAGTTTCCTCTATTCAGTTCTATTAGTGGTGCCTCAATTCTAAGCTCTAACACTTTCTACCTTTTAAAACAGGTTGGCAAAGAGAGTCTGGACATCCCACAGCTTGGAAAAAGAAGTCTGCTTATAATTTGCCATGAACTTAAAAAAGAACCCCAAAACTTCACTTGGGTACAAAGTTCTACCTCATCCTGTAGTGACAGAGATCAAAGAGATTAAAGTATTAATGGGCAGAATGAGGAGCACCCCAGGACCCCCAAACCTACCTGCTCTAAATAGGTTGTGCCATCCACTGCATCAAGACAAAACATCCTCTCAGTCTTAGCATAAAACCTTCAGTAGAAAAGAACTTTAATAGTGTGCAACAAAAAGTAGAATACAAGAATTATATAGTTAAAATAGTTTCCCCTTGAAACACTGAAAGTCGCCCATCCCCATGTGGGTAAATACAGAGTTGATCCAAAGCAGGGCCACTGAAGCTTGAAAGCTTGATGTCTAAGTCACCCTTTGATAGGGATCATAGGGAAGGGACAGAACAGCCAGGCAAGTCTGGAAGAAAAAGAACAAAATCAAACGCAAGTCAAGATAAAGGCTGCCATCATTGGCCTCCCCACGGGTCTCTCACCCACAGCTCTTGTCTCTTCCAAGTGCCTCTTTCCATGTCCCCCAAGTCCCTGGTACAAGTCCAAGGTGAGAAGCAAGTATGGCTTCTTCTTCACATGTCTCTCTGCTCCATGTGTCTCCTCCAGATCTCTTTCTCCCTTTCCTTTCCTTCTCCCTGACCTGCTTTGTAGATTCCCCTTGTTGCTCAGCTCCAATCTTCCTTAGATGGGGCAGGGAACCTGGATCTTTCCCTTCTATAGGGATTACACTGCTACAGAAGGACTTTATTACTTTTATTCCTCAACTTCTTAGCTTTATTATTGCTACCTTTTCACCCCTCATCCTTCCTAGAGCTGCTTTCTAGAGTTGCAGTTGTTGAAAATAGGAGTTGCATTTATGAAGTGATTCTCCTGCCATTTCTTTCTCTGGTAGGCGTTGAAGATGCCTTCAGTTTTACCTCCAAAGTCATGACGGTGTCCCTGCACAAATTCTCCCCAGGATTTTTCCCAGGCAAGTGATCTGTTTGTTCAGTATTACATTTGAGAAATAAATACTGCAATTCTTCTATATGTTTCTTATACATTATATTTGGATGCTACTAATATCTTATTGGTGCTACTCTATGCAAAATCTAACACAAGTCATATCAGATGACAATAACAGGAATGGAATGCTGTTTCTTTTTCCAGATGATTTTTATGGACTGTTAGCAGCTCACTTGCACCTACTCTGCTATCAGAGACCCTGTATAACTCCTAGCATTTTGATAATTGCATTGATATAATATCTAAGACACATGAAATAGTCAGTCTAAGGACTTAATCTTTTTAAACTTGATCCAGCAAAAAGGAAACTCTGGTTTCTCTTTTTTTATGGTTTTTCTGCTCCTCAAACATTGTTTATAACAGATATTTACCAAAATTATTTTTTCTCATTTTCATTCCCTTACAAACCATCGTTAACTCATTGCTCTCCTAATTGACCTTTAGGACTTCTGAATTTCTATCAGAGAATACTTCAGGTTTTCTATTTCTTGTATCTTAAAACTGTTTGCATGCTGTTCTCTTTTGCAGGAACAGGTGATGTGTCTGATGTTGGCTTAGGAAAGGGCCGGTACTACAGTGTAAATGTGCCCATTCAGGATGGCATTCAGGATGAGAAGTATTACCACATCTGTGAAAGGTATGGCAATAACGGTGAGCCAGTAACCAGTGGATTACATTTCTGTAGGATGAAATGGCCTCCAATCTCCAAGAAATCTTGTTTTTAAGGGACAATTTGAAAAGGAAGCCATTGTATACCCATGTTGCTTTTGTATAATGTTCATTATGCTCATTTTGTGAGGCTGTCCTTTCCTGTTTGTGAGAACCAAGTAGTTGGACCAGAGCCACTCTTGGTTGACTCTTACCTGCTACCCATATAATGCAGGCTGTCTGTAGTGCAGGGCTGAGCTGCCTTGAAAAATAACTTGTCTGCTACTTTCTTAGATAAAACCGGCATGTATGTGATTTCGTTAGCCTGGATGGTTCCATTTTAGTCTTCCATGATGGAGATCTGTTTCCATCCACTGGTATGAATATTAAAAATTTCTTTCTTATGAGTTCTTGAGTTCTATCTGTTGTGTTAAAATTGGAGTCAGAAATCTTTTTCTTTACTCTATGGTTAAGTATTAAATTACAGCCACTTCTGAGCAGTCGGCCAATGTGTAGACCACTGGGGGCAGAAAAGCCCTACAGAATTTGGGGGAAGGAAGAGAATGGGGAGACTGAACTACTTATAAAACTTGAGATTGGTCAGTACAAATTCACTGCTGGCATTGATGAGTCTGACTAGAAGCTAGCAAGTCAACATTACTTCAGCTAAATGATGGGGACTAAGGTGCTTTGATCCCTCACCACTGAGCTCAGATTTCTCCCAGCCTTTAGTGGAAACAGGGACTTCCCAAAGTAACGTGCACTGACTGCCATCATGGCAGTTATATCAACAAAGTAGAAGTACTGGAAAATAAAAACTTTATGCTTCAAAGGTGCCTCTTAGCTCAAGAGATCTGGCAAGCCAAGTTACCATTAACTTGGCAGCACTATCCTCTTCTTGATTTTGCTTGTCCCCCCCGACCCCCGCCTCTGTATTGCCAGATTGAAAAAAACATTTTTTGAGCCCGCCATTGATGGTTTAGGGTGTTGATTTTTTTTTTTTTTGGAGATTTACATGTTTGTGGATCCCCCTCTATAGGTGTTGCTACTATACCACATACCCCCACCGAAGTACCCTCAGTACAATGGACCCCCAATGGTTTTCATCACCCTCCATTGTAACCCCAAAACCCTATTCTGTGGCAGAGAAGGGTGGATCAGAGTTGCTGATGCAGCCTTACCAATAAACATCCTGTGATTCTGTGTAAAAGGAGAATTCTTTTGTTTTTCTTTAAATCCCATTCTTGATAATGACCCATACTTTTTGTCTTTTGTCTTTTTAATTTTTTACTTTTGCCATAGCTGGAAGCTAAGTTATTCTAGAGCTTGTTCCTGGGTCTTCATTGAAAAGACAGCATTTACCAGTCCTGCAAATGTAGATTGTACTATCTGATTCTCCTTAAATGGATCACTGTACATGTGCCCCTATTGAGCTCATCTGCCAATCATAAAGCCTCCCAAGAGCTTCCTTTATTCCTCCATTAATTTGACATTTCACTGAGTGTCATTTCTAGATTTGAGGGTTTTCCAGTACCCATCTGCAAAGAAGTCTATTTACCTTTCTTCAATCAAAAAATAAGTTTCTCTCCTATATTTTTGTCCTCTCTCTAAACAGTTCCTAGTACATGACTTAAGGTTTTTTTTTTTTAAACTTCTGATAAGTCATGTTTCAAAATGGACATAGGAAAGAGAAAGACAGGATAGGGGTGGGAAGAGCACCAGGGTCTACGGTGACGGAGCACGGGCGATGTGTTGGTGGGAATTTCTTGGGGAAACCATACATTGTACAAAAACGAAGGAGGAGACAATGAATATATTTTTAAAAATAGACATGGTATACAAACCTATGTAGAAGCAATTGAAAAGTAAATTTAGCACCAAGAAAAAGATCTGTGTAAGATCACAAATGATATCCCCTTGTCAACCCAGGTCAGTGTACAAGTGGCCAGGTTTTATTGAAGAGCCTGTCTACTAGAGCACTGCTGGTGGGGCACCCCATTCCTGGCCCACGTAACCATGGCAGAGCTGAGCGGCCAAGTGAAGCTATATAACACAGAAGGCATGTGGGCTCTGGGGAGACCCTTGGAGACAGGCACTTTGGCTTCTTGACATTGGACTTGACCAGGGACTTGGGGGGACAGGGAAGGAGACACCTGGAAGAGACACATGGGTGAGAGACACGAGGGGAGGTGGACCATGGCAGCCGTTACCTTGATTGGTACTTTGATTTTGCTCCTTTTGTCCGGACTTGCCTGGCACTTTCTGACCCTTTATAGTGGCTCCCCACCAGAAGGTACCTTAAATTTGTGGCAAGCTTTTGGGCCTCTGTGGCCCCTCTTCAGGCCAACCCTGTTTGGTTGCACATTTACCCACAAGGAAGTGGGTAACGGGGTGTTTGATTGGGAAACTATTATCCTTTCTTCTCATTTCTCTGTGCACACTAATTCTATTAAAGTTCTTTTACACTAAGAGTATGCTTTGTCTTTGTGCACACAGATGGCTGGAGCCCTTTACACCATTCAAGTTTGGGGGCCCCAGGTTACCCTCAGTTGCACTCTAACAGTGCCCGACACTCATCAGTTTATTGTTCGCAAGGCTCCTGTTCCAGTGGAGCCACATCCACAGCCTGCTTGGGGTCAGTAGGCAGCCCAGCTCCTTGTGTCCATTGGCGCTACTGGGGCTTTCCCCATTGAGTTCCTTCAGAAGTCAAGTTGGTCAGGGCATTTCGTGATGGCACCTCTGATCCAGGAGTGCTAGGGAGGCTCCCTGACCCCAGCATCTCTCTCATCTGTTGTACTAATAGCTGAAGATTTTTAACAGAAAGCATACTTTTATTCTACAATGAAAAATCAGCTTTAAAATGGAGTTTTGCAGCAGCCTTACCTCCTCACCCTTACACTGCCATACAGGTGTAGGTTTGCGGAGCTTTTCTTGACACTTGATTTTGCAAAGTTTCCAGTGTGAGTGCCCTGAGAATTCAGAGGAGCAGAAGTTGGGCAATGGAAGTGTAAGGGCAGAAAAAAAACAAAACAGTATTGCCAACAGAACCATTTGGCAGTGGGTCAGCCATGGTAACTGTATCACTTGGTCTAAGTTGATCACTATATTTCTTGGTCATTATGCTTTTGACTACTTTTCCTTTGTCGTGGGACCAGAGTCTCATACACATTTGCAGTTATGACTCTGGCCCATCTGCCACAAAAAGTACAACAGACATAGGCTTCCTCATGTTAAAAAACAAACAAACCAACCAAAAAAACAGCTTATTCAGCATATCTGCTATCTCTTTTTCCTCATTTTTGTTCTAGGATCTGACTGGTTTACTGGCTCACTCCTTATCTGTGATTTTAAAATAAAGGACTGCTTATTCCTGATAATTTATAAGATGCACTAATTTTCATTTGCCACCCACTTTCCAGTTTGCTCCTGAACTGCCTGTCACTGTAGGATTCATGAACCATCTTTCTCTCTTTCCCCACTTCTATTCCTTCCTCCTCTTCCCTCCCTCTCTTCATTCTCTCCCTTTTCCTCTGCTGTTTTCTTTTTGACTTTGCCAAGTAGTCAGGCGAAAACATAAGGGTTTCATGTTAAGGTTGAACATACCCTCCTTACATTCTAAAAATGGTTTAGAAATTCTTAATTATTTTTAATACACCAGATATGGAATCTTTACATGAATGTTTTTAAAATCAAAGTATCTTAGGTCCAGTCTGTGTAAAAGACAACTCCTTAGCCCATTAAATACTAATTTAGAAGAGCAAGGTCACTAATTTATCAACACTCTCCAGTAGAGCCCTATTTAAACTAGCATACAGGAATGAGAAGATTACTCTTGTAAGCATATCTCCTTCAAATAGAAGCTATGGGCCCAATATAGAGGTGATCATGTTCTTGATTTACACAAAGACTCGCCCTCCTCCTTTGGCTGCCTACATAGATACAGAGTTTTTGCTTTTGTTTTTGAATTCTTTATTCTGTCATAAATTACTTAAATATAGGTACATCTGTGGTCCCATATGTAATTTTATACACCAAAAATAGTAGTAGCTAAATAAATCAACTTGCTAAGTATTAATCAAGCAATTATTATATGCTCAACATGGAAGTATGAGCACCTTTTCCTGATTTTAAGAAGCATGTAGTTCAGCAGATGCAACAGAGGAAGCAAGTCTAAAGCAAAGCAATAATTTAAATAAAATTAATGCAAACATCTGGATATAACAGAAATGAAAATTGACTCCTAATGAGAGCTAACTATGCACCATATTCTGAGTGCCAAACATCTTTACATCATAATCTACTATATCCCTCACACCTACCCACGGAGGCAGGGAGGAGTTTCATTTCCAATAGAAATACAGGACACAGGTAGGTTGAGCAATTTGTCCTGTCACACACAGAACAAGTGGTCGAGGGTGAGATTCTGCCCAAAGACTGTCTAATTCTAATGTCCATGCTTCTAACTAAATTGTGCATATGTTCTTAACCTGTCATGAACATGCCAAACATAAAACAAGACAGTAATCATGGCGGGCATGGGAGGAGTCCATGGAAAAGAGTGAATATGGAGGAAAATGAGATTGGCATCCTTGTAACTATTTGAGTCCAAAGCCTAGGAAGAACCAAGTTCCAAGCAGCCCCACCCCTCTGCATGAGCCTTCTATTCTAAGGATATAGCAGAGCTATAGCCACCCACTTTTAAAGAGGAACTTGTCACCGGAGGCCATCTCCTCCCATAACCATACTGCAACTCAGCTGCCCAAGCTGAGGCAGAGACCCGAGCTGACGACCTGATGTGGCAGTGCTCACACTTGCAAGGATGGCACATACTCAGTTTCATGGGAGAGGAAGGCTGTTATGCCAAAGGGGCTGTTTGCTTGTTCCCAGGCCATGTCGTCTCAGAGGAAATACTGTGCAACCTATGTTTGACCTGTAATCTGTTTGCTCTCTGAATATATTTGAATACAGTGTGAGACTATCTTAATGTTT